TGAGAAAAAATATTAATCAGAATCTAGCTCTTTAAATCCGCTAATCTCTGCACTACCATCGGAGTAGTCATCATCATCACTGCTGCTTTCGGCCATAAAATAAAATATCGAATATTGTAGGTTTTAAAACGACAACTTTATTTAAAATAAAAACGGTCTTTTTATTATCTGTATTTATTAAAAAGCTAAAGTTCTTATCTTTCTCTTTTCCAATACTCATTTTCTGTACGTTCACATGATTTATTTCCTTCTTTTGTTTACAAATGTTTAGTTTTTATTCTAAGATTAGTTCAGTGTTAAAAAAGTTTTTTTGCAAACCGTACTTTTCAAGCGACATTTGACAGATGGAGGTCATTTGCTTTCCTATTCTTATTTGAATCGCATAGTATATGTCGCGTGTGACGCTCAGGACGCTCGTAGCGTTTCAACCTTCTCCGGGTTACTCTCCAACTTTCACGCTTGTCCAGAAAAGCTGCGCACGAGTCCCACACACAACACACACACACATATATATAGTCTTGTGACGCTCGTTACGCAGTTCCGTTTCATCTTTCCCATACGATATTTCGGTTTACAACGCGTCCAAAAAGAAGTTTCACTTCAGGAAGAAAGTGAGTAATGTCAAGATTATTGTAGATTTTTTTTCCAAATTTTTTTTCTTCTTTGCCCTTTCTACCTGCCTTCATTGTGAGTTTACGATCGGCTATTTGGCGTAGCTTTACTTACCTTCGAAAACGTTCCCTAAAACTGTTTACTCAGAGTGTTTGTATTACCGCCCTTGTTAATATTTGTTCGTATTTAATATCATAGCCAGTATTATATTGTAGTTCGTTCTCAAGCTTTTTAAGTGTATGGCACGGTGGATTTTCCCGCTCGAATTGGGGCGTCCTCTTAGGGAAATATTTTATTTATTTAATCTTTATGTTTATTCAACAAAGTAAAGGAAATAAGCAGATAGAAAAAAAAATGTCTTTCTTTTGTAAGTGTCTTGACGATCTCCGTGGCCGAGTGGTTTGTACGCCGGCTTTTATGGTGTCGCCTACGCGAGACGTCCCGGGTTCCAATCCCAGTGGAGGCAGATGTTTGTGTGATGAATACGAGCATTTGTACTCCAGTCATGGATATTAAATATGTATTTCTATATAAATATACTTATATATATGTATTCTATCCGTTACCCTAGTATCCCATAACACAAGCCTGCAGTGCTTACTTTGGGGATAGACTTATTGGTGTAAGTGTTGGAAATATTTATATTTATTTATAAGTAGAGCTGAATTACTCACACTAACATCAGGCCGGTCGACTGCCTAAATACATTGATATGAACTTCAAATTAAAATTATCGCTGAAGCACTGTAAGGGCTTGAGTGTAGCATCAAGATTAACAGGCATATCGGCAACAATCTTAGATATGCGGATGACATAGTCTTGATAGCTCCCACAGAGAACAGGGTATTTGACAAGTTTTAGAAAACGATCTCACGTTATTTACTAATGTTTATAGAGTCCATAAAATTTATATTAATATTCATCATTATGTTGTGTGTTTGGGTAAAAAAACTAAATCAAAAACTCTATTTTCAAGTTGCCGCGAAAAACGTATCTCTGGACAATATGGCGTCTCACTGGTGTGTGACGTCATACGAATGTCATTAAAACGTCAAACCATACAATCTAATGTCACTTTAACCGGAAGTTTACTTGCGTGTGACGTCATTTTAAGCTCCACCAATCCAAAGCGTTTTGGTTACGTGACAATAGACAAGAAAACTATTATCTTTATCGTGGGTTTTTAGTAAAATCATGAATATTCTTTCTGTAAAAATAGTAAAAACTCCTGCCAATAATCATTCTAATTACAGATGCTAACAATAGGGATGATGACTATTTTTTTTTCTTCGTTTATCAGGTAGATTATCAAAAAGTATTGGACACGTATTTTTTATTTTTTCACATAATATAAAAATTGCAGAGATATATACAGTTTTAAGGGAAAATTCACTTCAAAGTGACGTCACGAGCCCCTACTCCCAAACTTTGACGCGCTATAACTTTGTCATTTTTTGGTTGATTGCCCAATGAAATCTAACTGACGGACTAAATAGAATTTCGTTTAATGTACCCCGTCATCACCCCTATTGGCTCTTTATTTTTAATACTGTCAAAACCCTATTGCAACAAAGTGTTAACCGCGCTAATGAATACAGTTTGCGGGCGGGTCTGAATATGAATGTCTCTAAGATGAAAATAATGGTGGTCACCAAGAAAGAGGTTGTAAATCGAAGGTAAAAGATTCATATTCACCATCCTCGAGGAGCTCGATGGCGCCAGTGGTTAGCGCGTTCGGCTGCGGTCGTTGAAGTTGAGCAACTTTTGCAGTGGTCGGTCATTGGATGGGTGACCAAAAATTTACTATCTCGAGCTCCTCCGTGCTTCGGAAGGCACGTTAAGCCGTTGGTCCCGGCTGCATCTGCAGTCGTTAGCACCCACCAACACGCACTGGGCCCGCGTGCTGGGTCATGGCCCAATCTCCCTAATCCATCGATAGAGAAGGCCTGTGCCCCAGCAGTGGGGACATTAATAGGCTGATGATGATGATGATTCAGCATCCTCCATTATCAGAATAAATGAAAAAAAAGACATTGTATGTAACGTATGTTGGGTTAGGTCTCAGTTTTAGGCGACAATGTAAATTAGCCAATGGACAGTCAGAGAACCGTTAATACCATATAAATCTTCATCTCGCGAGATAAAGGAACCAGTTCGGATGCTGAGCTTAGAGCCAAGTTGCGCCTTTTAACGACGTGAATAATGCGATGCAAATGATCAATTGGCACAGAATGCCTCGAAGCTTTAAGTCCGCTTCTATTTATATACAAAACTAGATGGAAGAATAATAAATATATATGAAATTGCTATGTTTGTTAAAAATGAGCGCTTGGTTAACTAAAAAATTCAAGCTCACAAAAAGTTTTAAAATAATATAGGTACTTACTTAATAGTTTTAAAATGACATTGTTGATGAGTTTCTTGCCAGTTTGTATTTAGTGCGAGGTCTTTCGCTGTAAGTTCTGGAAGCTGGAAAGCTGTGCAAATCTTTCCGTTGCGTATTGATGTAGACCAAATTAAATTGTTTAAACTTAATATCTTAAGAGGACTTTTATTATTTTATAATGCCATCTTCGAAAACATTTATGGTTGCAATAAATATTTTAAGGAAAATTATAATAAACCGGTTCATCAAAATTAAACAGCGCACATGATATTTTTCGTATTCTATAAAATGTTTTTGTTAATAACTTGTCTGTGATGATGAATACATAGAATGCAATTGTGATCATCTTAAATATGATAAAAAATATGAACGCTTCTGTTGGGAATCGTACGAATACGCCATTAACATAAAAGACTATGAACGAAAATACATGCATAACTAAGAATCAAGTATTTCACATATGGTTCTTGCTAGTACAATAAGGAATATAAAATGTTTATCTACGGCATTCAATGTAAAAACTGAAATACTGTCAATAAACGCAATGGAATATTATTCATTACATTATATCCGGTTTTAGTATAGTATTGTACGTTTTTCAAAAAATGAGAGAAAGATTTGAGTTTCTTGTAAAATGATATAGATATATATCTATTAATAAAATAAAATAAAATAAGACTTTATTGCTGTTAAACTTTGAAACATTTCCTTAATCTAATTAACTGTATATATATTTGTTTCTATTCTAAATTATCAGCGTTCGGGTCATTATTTTCTGACACAGCTTGTCTTTCGACATAGGCCTCCTCTAAAGATTTCCATTTTCTTCTATCTTTTGCAACTCTCATCCATTCTGAACCAGCCACCTTTTTTAAATCATCTTCCCATCTTTTCGTTTGCACACATTTGTTTCTTTTACCGTCCCTTGGATACCACTCTGTTATTATTCTGGTCCATTTCTCTAGCCTTTCCCTCAACATATTATTATGTCCGGTGTGTATATATCTATTTATGAACATTTGAATGCATTGTAAACTCGTTAAAATTAATCGTAACAAAAATGCACACTGGCATAAATAATCCTAAAAGTATCATAGCAGAGCTGCAACATTAAGAAAAAGTTTAAATAGGTACTTTAAAATAAGTGATGTTGCTCGCAGACACAAGTAAGCAGTTCAAAAACAGAATTCCTCTTTGGTACCTAATTACGAACTAGTTATAATGTTAATATTAACTTGTTTACACACATCACGACTCGATGCTATTTAGAAAAAGGCTCACGAGCGAAGTCGAGCGCAGAAACGAGTTTCTCGAATGACAGGGATCCCGGCCCAGCGTTGTACTTACTATGTATTACATATTATTTTAGAAACGCTATCTTGCAATGTTATTATAAGAATCTTTCGTGGCAATGTTAAATTGTTTTACACAGTTAAGTACTATTACTTACAAGTACAAGCACCTTATAGGTACGTGTCTAACGGTCTCGCACTCAAAGAAGTCAATTAAAATTGATGCGGACGTTTTCTTTGCAATAACAACAGATTGAGTCAACACGTGATCAGCCGTCCTCACATTTCTGAGTACAGCTGTTAGAGAAGAGATAAGACGAGTGTTAATTTTTTACACGATTTTAGTTAGACAACTGCCTGTAAATTTATAAAAGAAGTTTTTCCTTCGCATCAATTTGTTTAATTAGATTGCACTGTAGTTATAATTTTAATTTTTTTAAAGCATGTAACTGCTTGATTGGTTGCTGCCTTGCAGCTTAAGAATGTCTAGAAGAATTTCGACGCGGTCCGTGAGGGCCGCGCTAGCATAATTGGTCAGTGCGTTCGCCCGGATTGCGAAGGGTGCGGGTTCGAGTCCCGTCTGCTTCCTGGTCCGCTTGGATTTTTTTCTAGTTATATTTTCTTTAGATTGCACTATGTTTTTTTTAACGAAGTTCTCTCTCTTTTGCAGGTGTGAGTGACAATGTGCGTGCGGTGATCGCGACAGCGTGATGTGGCGCGCGGTCTCGCTGCTCGCGGTGGCGGTGGCGGTGACGGTGGCGAGCGCCGAACACGTGCGCGAGTTTGCCGTGCGCGAGAACGCCGCCGCCGGCACGCTCGTCGGCCACCTCGGCGACGAGCTGCCCGACGCCGCGCCCCCCTACACCCTCGTCCCCGTCCCCGGCAGCGCCGTCGACGACGACCTCCGAGTCGATCCCCACACCGGCGAGATCAGGACCAGAGTAAAACTCGACCGCGAAACCAGGGACCACTATGCCCTTGTCGCCATCCCCGCCAGTGGAGACAACATCCGCGTCGTTGTCCGAGTCCTAGACGAAAATGACAACGCTCCCGTCTTCCCCACACCCGTGATGAACGTCGAATTCTCCGAGAACACCCCTAGGGACGTGAAGAGGAAACTCAATCCCGCGAAAGACAGGGATTTGGGTGTCTACAACACGCAGAGGTATAACATCGTGTCGGGGAACACAGATAACGCTTTCCGACTGTCTTCGCACAGGGAAAGAGATGGAGTTCTATATTTGGATCTTCAGATCAACGGGTTCCTCGATAGGGAAACAACGGACCATTACGAGTTAGTTATAGAAGCTTTGGACGGAGGGAATCCGCCCTTGAGGGGGACGATGACTGTAAATATAACAATATTAGATGTAAATGATAACCCACCGGAGTTTGCGGAGAGTGCATATTCCGCGACTATTCCAGAGAATGCTACAGTCGGTACAACAGTTTTGAAAGTGTCGGCCACTGATGCTGATTCGGGTGAAAATGGCCAAATAGAATACTCAATAAACAGACGGCAAAGTGATAAGGAGAATATGTTCAAAATTGATCCGCAAACGGGAGAGATCACCGTTAACAAAGTTTTAGATTTCGAGACTAAAGAATTGCACGAGCTGGTCGTGGTGGCGAGAGACAAAGGTGCTCAACCACTAGAAACGACAGCTTTTGTTTCTATACGGGTCACGGATGTGAACGACAATCAGCCGACCATAGACGTGATATTCTTGAGTGACGATGCGACCCCTAAGATATCCGAATCGGCGCAACTGGACGAGTTCGTGGCTCGAATATCGGTGCACGATCCGGACTCCAAGGCGGAATACTCAAACGTTAACGTCACTCTGAGCGGCGGCGATGGCCACTTCGATTTGAGGACTCACGATAACATAATTTACTTAGTCGTGGTAGCGTTACCTTTGGATCGTGAGTCGCAGTCTTCTTACACGCTGAATGTGGTAGCTACGGATAAGGGATCTCCTCCCTTGCACGCGTCGAGAGAGATCAGTCTCCGAGTCACTGATGTTAATGATAACCAACCGGTTTTCGTTGAGAGCGAATACAAAGCGAGCGTACCGGAGGCAGCAGCGTCCGGTACTCCAGTAGTTCAGGTTTCAGCGACGGATGCGGACGAGGGTGACAACTCAGAGATTAGATACTCCTTGATGCCGTCCCCACAATCCGAGTGGTTCTCTATTGATGAACGTTCGGGGTTAGTGACGACACGGTCGCGAGTAGATTGCGAGACGAACCCTATGCCCAAGCTGACGATAGTAGCGCGGGACCGCGGTAACCCTCCCCTCTCCTCCACCGCCACCCTCACAGTGACAGTGTTGGACGTGAATGACAACGAGCCCATCTTCGATCAGTCCTTCTACAACGTCACCGTGCCAGAGAACGAGGCGGTCGGCAGCTGCATTCTAAAGGTAAGCAAGTTTTTTGGAAAGCTCATTAATGTCAGCACTAATTTATTCCTATTGTTCGACTACGTTTAGTCATACGCATGTTTGATGCGTATTTTACTAGTAGCAGTATTAACAAAAAGTTTTAATACACCGATGTACATCTGTTGGCATACTTTTGCATAGCACGCAGTTCTCACGGTCGAGCCTCTACCGAGTTTCTGATGAGTTTGACCTGTAAATGACGTTATTAACACTTGTAATTTGATAAATGAGTTTCCCGCCATTTGTACCAAAATCTCGCCTCGATTCACCTCGAGGTGAAAGTAGGCGCGTGACTACTGGTAATTTGCGATATTTGATTAAATTACGGCCGTGCGCCGCGGCGCCGTAATGCCAGCGAAATGTCAGCGGGTTGCGGGATACAATGTGCCGAGTGATAATTCTATCTCATTGCTGCCTTATTGTGCCAATACCATATTTGTAAAATTGAAGAACTGCACCCATAGAGAGCGGGGTTATATAAAAACTATTTTCATAACCAGTGCGCCGTTTTCTACAGCAGAAATTAATCAAGCCGCTTGTTACCGCAACATGGTCGCTGAAAAAAACGCTAGTTGCCATTTCGAACGTAAATTATTCTCAAGCTCTATCAAACGCAAGTAACGAGTTGTGCACTGGAATAATCATGTTGCGCCGATTGCAAAAAGACTACCCGACCCATAAATACGTTTCAACGATATGTTTAATAAATCATTGTGTTGGTTGCTCGTGAGATATGTGAGGATTGGCCTTTGAATAGTATTATTTGCACATGCGAATTGTTAAAGAGGTAACTTTAATTTACTTTAAAACAGGCTTTGTAACGTGAAAACTCGGTACACCAATTAGTTACGTGGACAGATCAATTCCGCTTATCGGGCGCGCTCCCAGCCTGCACTTGACGAATTTGTTAAAAAAGGGCCCAATTTTCATTAAGTCTTATCGGTGATCCGGTCGGCCGGTCGTAACTTATGCGAGTTAATTTCTTTTAATATATTCGCGGGGTGGTGGTGTGTAGTCGTGTGTCGGCCGCATAAATCTATCGGGTGGAGTGATGCGAGTTTGGGCGTGTGGCGAGACGCATCGCAAATTGCGATCTTAATTGAAAATTAAACAGTGCGCTCGGCTGCGGCGCGCTCTGGAGCTCTATTTTTGAATCACTCGTCTGACATAGTATCGTCGAATGCGACATAAGTCACCTTCGACTTTCAAGTCGCATGATACTGATTTTCCGTATTTTTGAATCGTTCGTCACCGGTGTTACTAGTTTAATCATCATCATCAGCCTATTAATGTCCCCACTGCTGGGGCACAGGCCTTCCCTATGGATGGAATAGGGAGATTGGGCCATGACCCACCACGCGGGCCCAGTGCGGATTGGTGGGTGCTAACGACTGCAAATGCAGCCGGGACCAACGGCTTAACGTGCCTTCCGAAGCACGGAGGAGCTCGAGATAGTAAATTTTTGGTCACCCATCCAATGACCGACCACTGCGAAAGTTGCTTAACTTCAACGATCGCAGCCGAACGCGCTAGCCACCTGCGCCATCGAGCTCCTCACTACTAGTATAATACGAAATATAAAATTTAATCATTTCACGCACAAAAAACTGGTAAAGCAGCAGTAATTGCAGTTAGCAATGAAAACCCAATGAAAACCGAACTAAAAATTCTCAGTACATGACTTTATAATACAATTGTATTTTGTCGCTTATTATGCCGGCAATTTACTTAGCTATTCGTGATTGTCGTTTGTAAACTTGACATGCATTAGCCGTCATGCCTTATTAAAAGAAGAAACTTGACATCAGTCTTCCCTTGTCGTTTTATATAAAGCATGACAAGGATAGATTATCGTCATCTAATAGTACAAAAAATTGACAATTTTTCTATTATGCGCCTCCACCATTCGGCATGCAACGAGTGGTCTCACCCATTCGTTGCACTCGAGCGATTCAAAAATACGGAATTAATTATGTCGAATGAAATTTAGTAGAAATCGAGCGTTCGACGCTAGGCGAATGATTCAAAAATAGAGCTCCTGGGGGCCAATCGCCTAACTGGATTGCTTTGGAAAACGCTATCGCTTACGATTTCATTTTGTTCTTTCTAGCCTGAGGTTTTCAAATGCCTCGCGCTCTTTTTTTTTCTTTTGCATTGGTAATAACAATGTTAAAGAAAATGAGCGTGATGTATTTCGGCGGTTAGAAATAACAAAATGAAATCGTAAGCGATAGCGTTTTCCAAAGCAATCCAGTTAGGCGATTGGCCCCCTGGGCGCTGGCGACCAATGGTGTGGTGCCTTCCTGTATGCCAGTTACTGCGACATCTTTAAACATTACTGGGAACCTGCTTTCTAAAAAAGGGATAAGCTCATACTAGATGATAACGAATCCATTCAACATCAAGTACTTAAATAAAGCCTTGAATATAACAATATCCAAATCAAATCACTATGCTATCCAGGTTTTCGGACCCTTGGACAGAATATTAATTACTACTAAAGTAATTTAAAAAAAAGAACGTTTATTTTAAACATGCCGAAACACGTTTTGTAGCTAATCTATACTAATATTATACAGAGTAAAGATTTGTATGTTTTTGTAATGTATGAACTCAAAAACTGCTGGAAATATTAAAAAGCTTTTTCACCACTAGAAAGCTATATTATTCCCGAGTGACATATGCTTTTTGTTTTATCCCGTTTAAAATATGTTTCACCATGATAATAAAATATATTGTGATAAATTAAAAAAAAATACAATAGGCAATAACAATTCATGCGTTATGCCATTCGGAAGCTAACCTGTCCAGCTGTGTGCTTCGGACGTGTTCCTATTTCGAAATGAGCGTAGGTACTATGCACTGGGGCCTGTCGCGTACGCAGAGAAACTTTTTCATTGAAGGCGACAGGCCACTAGTGCTCACACGCGTAATGCATGAAGTTTCGCTTCTGTGCCTTCTTTACTCATGTGGTGATACATCAGTACTGATATTAAGCGACGCTTGCGCTGATCAGCGGACTTTTTTCAGCGGAATAAGCGTACGTAGATGTACATAAATAACACATTAGTCTATAATGGAACGGAATGAATGCTGTTGCTATTTGAAATTGATTGGATTAGATGTTCACAATTAGATAAATTAAGCGTGTAATGATTGACTGGACTCCTTCGAAAATGCGCTGAAATAAAAAAAAATACCGTATTAAGGAACTTAATATCTATAATTTTTATTTTTAAGCATGTAACTGCTTGATGTTTAAATCTAAAGAAAATATAAGTAGAAAAAATTCCACGCGGACCAGGCAGCAGACGGGACTTGAACCCGCACCCTTCGCAATCCGGGCGAATGCACTGACCACTGTGGGTTACCTACAATGTGAATAAATGGCGATAATTTCGACGCGGCCGTCAGGGCCGCGGTAGCATAATTGATTAGTGCATTCGCCCGGATTGCGAAGGGTGCGGGTTTGAGTCCCGTCTGTCCACGTGGAATTTTTTCTAGTTATATTTTCTTTAGATTTGAACTTAATATCATTTAATACGTCTCATTATATCCAATCCAATATTGGTGTAGCAGTTTATAACTACTGTATCAGCTATCTTCGTGTTTGAACTTTATCACCACTTTACATCAGGTGGTGTAGAGTCATTTGCCTACCTCGCTATAAAAAAAAACAAAGTCACAGATTCAATATGGCATTTTCTGTTAAATGAGTGTTTACCTCAAAAGATTTCCGATAAACATCCCCAAAGCATATTATAATTTGCTATCTCAATATTTGCGTTTCCCGATACCATCGATCAGTCAGCAAGTCGATCGATATCGCGCAACATCGTGTCGGATAACTTGGCCGATACAGAATGCCGGTAGAGAGAACGGGGAACAATTCAATCGGCTTTCGACGCGACGGCCGAAATGACTTCACGACCTCACGACCATAGGAATGTAACAACAGACCAATAAAATATTATACGACACGTTACAACAAGCGAAAATAAACTGTTGACTTTGATTCGGAAGAGCCATTTGAATTTGATTAAGAGCCTTCTCTGTTTTTTAACACTTTTGGAAGTAACCGCTGAAAATTGTGAAATAAAACAGAGATGACATACATGTAGATTTTATAGGTCAGAGGAGCTGAATAAAATACGGAATCACAGTGACGAATGATACTTATATTCTGTGAAATATATTTTTACTAGGAAGCTGATACGACTGACTCCTAGCACAGCAGAATACAAAGTGAAGCAAGTTTATAAGTGAACTGAATGCGAGAATGATCGAATGAGTGGGGGTTGAACGAACGATTGAAGTATTTGAGTTAAAACTGAATGAACAAGTATACTTTGGCATTACCTAATCATGTTACTTTCTTTTTATTACAAAAGGAATACAAATTATAGTATACCTATATAGATTAATTTTTGCCAATTTAAATTCAATATAAATTCAACAATACACACCTAGCAGTGCATGGGAGGACAAAAAAATAATTGGAGTACTTGCGAAAACTACTGTAAGCTCTGGCAAGCTGTTATCATAATTATTTTCTGGATACAGTCTAATTTCTCACCACAACGCGTTATTTTTTTTATACCTAAAACCGCGTATCTTTGTAGCTTAATTTATTTCATCATCATCATCATCAGTCTTATAATGTCCCCACTGCTGGGGTACAGGTCTTCCCTATGGATGGAATAAGGAGATAGAAGTTGTCTACATACTGAATATTAAGAGGGCTAGACTTGCACCCAAAGAATTCAGTTGAAAATTATCGTTGAAAGTTGTTATACAGTAAAGAATCGGTTTAAAGAGCATCTGCTTTGAAAAGATTCAGAAGAGAGACTGAAATAACTAATGCCTCACTCTTAGAGTACAGTATATCGCTGAGTTTTTGCCTTTTTGTGTCGTTGCAGCACACAGTTTCATATTTAGTAATAAACGCAATAATTTTCCACGCAAATTTGTGTGCTGCATGTGATTGAAATAAGCAATTTATTTATCAAAGAGAATTTAAAAAAAATAGTCTCTGGTCATTCCAGCCCGGAATATTTTTGCTCCAGTCTAGGATATTACAGGCTCTTCTATTTTTGTGTAATGTTCTCTTCTGTTCTTGTGTAATATTTGTTACATTTGCTGCTGAATGCGAAAGAGCTACACCACTGGCAACCGGCGAGTTACTTAGCAAGGGCTGTTTTTTTCTACTTCATTTATTTCATATAGTGTCGTCGAGTACATTTAAATACTCGTACAGATATCTACAGCTTCCGTCACATTGACAATAATAGTAGATGAAAAAAGCGAAGTTAAAAATAAGTATATCTTAATATATATAAATCTCGTGTCACAATGTTTGTCCTCAATGGACTCCTAAACCACTGAACCGATTATAATAAAATTCGCACACCATGTGCAGTTCGATCCAACTTGAGAGATAGGATAGTTTAAATCTCAAATTATGGTCGCAATTTTAATTTATTGCAAATTATTACTTTTGGGCGGTACGAAGTTCGCCGAGTCAGCTAGTGTATTATATGAATAGGCTTTGTTTCCCAAGGTAGGTTCCAAAAAGTTTTACTTTATCGCGCGGACGTACTTTCGTATGCATTAGAGTTAGCTCATAAGCCGTAAACACTTGTAAGGGTCGCGTAGGCCACAGCTCAAGGCGCGGTATTAGAATCAGATGCATATTAGACGTACGAGCAAGATCATTGTTTAACGGTTGCACCGGCTGCCCTACATACGCTGCTTAGTGTTCAAGATCTTATCTACATCTGGTATAAGTATGTATCCCTTCCTTCAATACTCAATATTGCATTCTACTACGGTTTCTCAGATAGTTATGTTATATGTTTCCGTTTGTTATCAAAAGCTGCATGGGGTTTCAGAAGATGTTCGGTTTTGATCGCTGTTATCTATATATATAAAACTCAAAGGTGACTGATTGACATAGTGATCTATCAACGCACAGCCCAAACCACTGGACGGATCTGGCTGAAATTTGGCATGCAGGTAGATGTTATGACGTAGGCATCCGCTAAGAAAGGATTTTGATCAATTCTACCCCCAAGGGGATAAAATAGGGACTGAAAGTTTGTATGAAACTTTGTCAATTTTAAACCTATCGGGCTGAAACTTTGCATGCAGGTATAGGAAGA